AAAATCATCCTTCAGAGAGGTACGCAAGTTAAGGAAAGGAAACCTCTCCGGTACCTTTGCATCATGAATCAGCAGAATCATGGATGTAAACTCCTGGGCTACAGAATAGGGCCTTTAAAGCTTGAGTCAGAATTCTAATTCTGAAACATTCTAGCTCTGTGACCTCAAGCAGCTTTTAACCTCTCCTTGTGTCCTAGTTTCCCCACATGTGAGTTGGGGTGCTAACACCTGCCTCTTGGGGATGCTGTGAGATGGAATGTGGCTTGCTGTGGAATGCTTAGCCCAGAGCTCAGAAGTGGGGTCATCTCTGTGCCTCAAAGCCTCAGTGCCTCCTTCCCTCCCATAGCTTCACTTCTCCTCCCTTCTTTCCAGCAAATATGCACCACACTTACCCTTATACACCTCCCTTTCAACGTCCATTCTGCTCCTTGGTTTTCTCCAAGACTTCACCTAAACCTGAATGCACTCACCTTTGTTTTCTCCGAGAGCCCCCAAGAAGCCACATAAAGCTAAGGCAGCTCCTGGCATCACACTCTAAACCTCCGAACCTCTGAGTCTCCCCATCTTTCCTGAGCACTCAGATCAATGTGCTATAACTAATCTTGACAAATATCTCCCTCAAATTCTTTTTCATTGAGAGGATGTCTTTTATCCTAAATAATACAGACAAACATTCCACTTTGCTTCAAGGTGGTGTAGCCACTGCTTGTGTTCGCCCGAGCTCATTTTGAAAACCGCTGCGTGTCGTAAGGTGACATCGGGGGCTGTGTGTTTCAAGAGCACCCTTTCTGATTCCCAGTGAGCCCCCAAACAGGTGACTTTGCCTCAAGTCACTTAAAATGAAGAACTCTTGATACACTTAAATAGCTTCCTGGGATTTAATGAGAAATCATGCTTTTAAAATATTTATCAAGATTTAATTTTATCAATATTAATATCAAAAGATGCACTTCACAATTGTTCAGTAACAGTTAAAAAAACACAAGAATATTTTTCAGGAAGAGTTGCTTCAACAAAACATCTTTGGGGGTTTATATTTTTTAATCACAATCACATGATAAATATTTGATTTGCATTCATTAGATAATCGGGAATAAAAGTTCTAATCCCAGGAAAGACATTTAGTGATTCTAAATACTGAACATTTGAATAATGGTGTTGAGGGACTGAAGTAGGAGTGAAATGTACCCAGGAGGAAAATTCAGAGACTTCAAAACACCTTTTTGGAAAAATAAATAAATAACAGAATAACATAAAGCACTGCAGTTTAAAAGGTGGGGGAGGGGAGCAAATTTTAAAAATTAATGAACTGAGATCTTTTCTTCAGAAACATCATTTCTGTATCATTTAATCAGACTTGAGCTTTCTTAAATTGCCTTTGAAACAAGTTAATAACCACTGCATGCCTGCCTTATTATGCATTTCTTACAAGTTAATGTACTCTGAGATTCGTCCTTCAGTAAACATAGGAGAAACACCAGTAGTCCCTGCAGGCTTTATCCGCGGTCAACGGTGAAGGATAAAGGCCTTCTCAAAGGCTTTGGAAGGCGCGGGAAAGGACTACCTGCTCAAAAATATCCCTGTGTCTAACTACCGTGGGGCAGAAATTCCCACTGCCAGGGTCAGAGTCACTGCTGGGAATTCACCTCCTGTCTCCAAAGAACTGTTAAAAATAAACATGTGGTAAACACCAGGATTTCTTTTTTTATGGCTGAAATATATATGTAATGAAAAATATATATATATGTGTGTGTGTGTATGTGTGTATACCATTTTCATTACGCATTCATCCATGGCTGGACATTGAGGTAGTTTCTCTCTCTCGGCTATTGTGAATAATGCTGCGATGAACCTAAGGTGCAGAGACCTCAACATCTCTTTGAGATACTGATTTCACTTCCTTTGGATACATACCCAGAAGTAGGATTGCTGGATCATATGGCAATCCTATTAATTTTTTGAGGAACCTCCATATCATTTCCCACAACGGCTGTACCAACATGGACAATGCTGGAGGACATTGTGCTAAGTATAATAAGCCAAACACAGAAAGACAATTACTGTATGATCTCACTTCTAAAAAAACTGAACTCATAGAATCAGAGAATAGAAAGGTGGCTACCAGAGGCTGAGGAGTGGGGGAAATGAGGAGATATTGATGAAAGGCTGTAAGCTTTCAGTTAGGAGATGAATGAGTTCTGGGGATTTCAAGTGTAGCATGGTGACTATTGTTAATAATCCTGTATTGTGTACTTGAAATTTGCTAAGCGAGTAAAGCTTAAGTGTTTTCACTACCAAAAAAAAAATGGTGAACAGGTAGTAAGTGCGTTAATTTGATTGTGGTAGTCATTTCCAAATTATATACACATTAAAGCATCACATTGTATGCTTTTTTAAAAATAAGTAAATAAATAAAATCTGAAAATAGTAATAATAAAATAGACATGTGGGTTGTGACAGGTTATAGATTAATCCATTAGTACCCAACAATGCACTAAGAGAATCAGAATTCCCAGAAGACAAGTGTTGAACCAAAATATTCTGACAGAAAGGAAGGAGGACTACCCTGAGTTAAAGAGGATAGACCGACAGTATGACTGAAACATTATGCTGTACACCAGAAATTGACACAGCATTGTAAACTGACTAGACTTCCATTTATTTCTATAAAAGGAGGGGTTGGTGCTGAAACGGTATGAAGATGTGTCTTGGAAAAGCTTTGGAGTACTGGGGGCTTTTTGAAAGGGATCATTAAAATTGGAAGAGAAGAAAAAGAAGAGAGGTTAGAGACACCCTGAAAGTATCCTTGGTCTCCATCATACAAGCATACAATGAGAATGAGAAGGTGGCCGTCTTCAAGCCAGGAAGAAATTCCTCACCAGAAACTAAACCCTATTGAATCTTGATCTTGGATTTTCCAGCCTCTAGAACTGTGAGAAATAAATTTCTATTGTTTAAGAAAAAAAAGTATCCTCATCTATTTTTCAGTTTTACTTAAGATAGTAATATTACCATGAACTATGTCTGAACATACCCGATAGTATTAACATATCAGAGAGAGATGAACTGCCGGTAGGATAATTTTTTTTTTTTTTGGTCAGGGATTCACTTCTCAAAGGCCAGTGAGAAACAAGCCCCTGACTTTTCAAGTCTGTAAGGAATCTACTTTTCACACAGTTTACAGCAACGTGGAAATCTTTAACTCATTGAGTTAAACTTAAAATAAAACTGAGATTCAGATGTTTAGCAATATGCAAGCCAAAGAAAACCTCACCTGCTTCCCCACACTTTGAATCCCAGGTGTTGTGTAAGCACCTTCATACTACCGACGCTCGACATGCTACCCCCCAAAAGGCTTCAGTTTTCTGGGAAATAAATAATTATTCTGCAGCTTGGGAAATGGAGTTTGCTTTTGTCAAAACTGTTATACGTTGTGACCTTTTCCATTTCTGAAATAACAGAAAACAGAGAGGAAATTGAGGCTTGAAACTGAGACTAGATCACTGTGGAGCTTGTTAACAACTCGAAGCCTAGTTAGGTGTTGGCTGGATGTCCCAAGAGGAGAGGGTGGTGAGAAAACTCACTATTTGCTGGAGAGTTCCCCTCAGATGCAGAGCCCTGGATTGAAATTTCATTGACGGCAATTTCACATTCTTCTGTATGAGGCAGGCACCAAACCATTCTGAACCAAGTGCTAAGACATGTGAAATGTTCTAACAATTTAAAATTGCTCTCCTCCACTCATGAAATGACTCTCAATCAACTTCCTATTCCAGAACATATTCAGATGGCAGGAATTTTGTTAATATCAAATCACTGTGAATCATGCATGGTAATTCGAAACTATCATAGACTAATGTTTGGTTGAGAACAGTATTTCCATTGAAAAAATGTTAGAAAAGTTAGTCTAGTTCAATGCTCCAGGACATACTGAAAGAAACTGTGGCTAAAAAGCATTACCCAATTCTACATTCTTGCTGTCTGTGTACACTTCCTTGTTGAGAGAGCAGGACCCACCCTTAGCCCTCTTCATGGGACATTAGCCAATCTGGAGGAGATGTTACTGGGAGTGAGCTGTGTTGAAATCGGGTATTCTGGGGACAGGGATGGACTGCCCAAGGGGCCAAGGATTAGTAGGCAAAGGAAAGGCTGAAAAGGATCAAGGATAGAGCTGGACAGACCAAGCTTGGGGAGCAGTCCTAAACCCAGGGGAGAAGACAGAGGCAAGGACCAAACCAGGAAGACAAACGACTCAACAGGAGCCAGCAGTGATGAGAGCAAGTCAGTGAGAAAGGTCTGAGATGGGTCAGAGTGAATGATTCATAACTAAGCTCAGGGACCGTAAGAATGAGGCTTTCATATGGTCCGACTACAGGGTGAGAAGCTGAGCTGGTGGCTCCTAGGAACCATGCACGTTGGGTCCTGTCCCAAGAGGCTTAGACCAAGGGATGCAGCTCAGAACTGATCCAGGGTTACCCTCTCTAATTGTGTCTGTGTGCCTGGTGTGCCAAGGAATGTGCAAAACCCCAGGATAAACATGGCACATAGAGGATCAACTGTCTTAGGTGGATAAATCAAATGCTATTTTTCTTTTGAAACAGTTCAAGATATAGTACACAGCAGAATTCAAAACTCCCACTTATTTATAATAAAATAAGAGGGTTTAAAAACTGTGGCACTAACAGAGGGGAGGTCTGCACTGGGTTCTTCCCCAAAGCTCCTGGTGGGTACTAAGTCTCTCTACTTTACCAGGAACTTAATTGTAAGACTGACTGAATGTGTGAATACAGTTGAATCCACTGGGGTCACCTTCTCTCAAACAACCAAGACTCAAGTAAACAACCCCTCATATGTCCTGCCTTGTGACAAGTGCACATAGCTCTTCACTTCAAATACCAATTTAAAACCTAATTCAGCTAGCAGGCTCTGGAGCCACAGACCTTTAGGCTCCTGAGGCTTCTTTTTTTCACTATTTAAAAAAAGTTTTTTGTTCCCCTTAACAGAGGCACTGGGGATTGAACCCAGGACCTCGTGCACGCCAAGCACGCACTCTACCACTGAGCTCTACCCCCCACCCTCAGGAGGCTTTTTAAAGGACTGTTTGTGAGGACTCTACCTCTGCTTCAGAAATAGTCCCGAGTTTAAATAGTCGGTAGAAGTTGAACAGCGGAATCGCCTCAGGGCAAATGCTGTTCTTTTGCGACACCACAGACAGCTACCTGTCCATGTGGGATTTACAAAGTGCAGGGGTAGAGGGATCTACAGCTCACGCTGTGTGGAGCTGCCAATGTTCACTTCGTGGGGTTTCTTAACATGGGATGGTTAAATGTTCTTAACAGTTAAATGTTCTCGACATGAAATGGTTAAATAATTACCTACGATTTACTTGTAAGAAAACAGTAGCAAGAAAATTAATTTCCTCAGCTAAACTGGAGAGAAAAAGAAGGTCCTCCCCAGCAATGAAGAGGATGAGGACTAAACAAGAACACTGCAGATAAACCCCTAAGAAAAAGGCATTTCTTTCAAACCTTTGAGCTGGTGGGTGAGGGAGAGAAGAGACAGAAGGAAAAACCAGAGCTGTCCTACAAGAAAGCTAGTTGGCTTTCATGTTTTTCTGAAATACAGTTGATTTATAATATTGTGTTAGTTTCAGATATACAGCAAAGTGATTCATATATATATATATATATCTGAATATATATATTTCTTCAGATTATTTTCCATTCTAGATTATTGCAAGACACTGAATAGTGTCTGTACTATACAGTAAAGCCTTGTTTTTTTCTATTTTATGTGTAGTAGTTTGTATCTGTTAATCCCATACTCCTAAATTATCCCTCCTCCACTTTCCCCTTTGGTAACCATAAGTTTGTTTTCTATGTCTGTGAGTCTGTTTCTGTTTTGTATATAGATTCGTTTGTATTATTTCTTAGATTCCACATATAAGTGTTATCATATAATATGTCCTTGTCTGACTTACTTCACTTAGTATGCTATTCTCTAGGTCTGTCCATGCTGCTGCAAATGACAATATTTCATTCTTTTTATGGCTGAGTAATACTCCATTGTGAGCTTCATTTATATATATGTATGTATCTCACATCTTTTTTTTTTGGTGGGGTTAGGGAGGAGGTAATGAGATTTACTTATTTATTTATTTTTAGAGGAGGTACTGGGAATTGACACAGGACCTCATACATGCTAAGCACGTGCTCTACCACTTGAGCTATACCCTCCCCTATACCACATCTTCTTAAACCAATCATCTGTTGATGGGCACTTGAGTTGTTTCCATGTCTTCACATATGCACACACATACACACACACACACACACACACACACACAATCTATCTATATCTATATATATATATATATGAAACATAATAGAAAGCCCCAAAATTAATCTATAATAATTAATTAACCTACAGTCAATTAATCTCTGACAAAGAAGGCAAGAATATACAATGGAGAAAAGACAGTCTCTTCAATAAGTGGTGTTGGGAAAGCTGAACAGCTACATGTGAATCAATAAAATTAGAACACTTTCTCACACATATACAAAAATAAACTCAAAATGGTTTAAAGGCCTAAATATAAGACACGACACCATAAAGATTCCTAGAAGAGAACACAGGCAAAACATTCTCTGACATAAATTGTAGCAATGTTTTTTTGGATCCATCTCCCAAGGCAAAGGAAATAAAGGCAAAAATAAACCAATGGGACCTAATCAGACTTAAAATCATTTGCACAGCAAAGGAAATCATCAACAAAATGAAAAGACAACATACAGAATGGGAGCAAATATTTCCAAATGATGTGACCAACTAAAGGTTAATATCCAAAATATACAAACTGCTCATACAACTCAATAACAACAACAACAAAAACAACCCAGTCAAAAAATGGGCAGAAAGACCTAAATAGATATTTCTCCAGAGAAGACATGCAGATGGCCAACAGGCATGTGAAAAGTTGCTCAACATTACTAATTATTAGAGAAATGTAAATCAAAACCACAATGAGGTATCACCTCACACCAGTCAGAATGGCAATCATCAAGAAGTCTACAAATATTAAACTCTGGAGAGGGTGTGAGGAAAAGGGAACCCTCCTACACTGTTGGTAAGAACGTAAATTGGTGCAGTCGCTATGGAAAACAGTATGAAGGTTCCTTAAAAAACTAAAACTAGAACTACCATATGATCTAACAGCTCCATTCCTGGACATACATCTCGAAAAAAAATGAAAACTCTAATTTGAAAAGATACATGCACCCCAATGTTCATAGCAGAACTATTTACAAGGGAAAGTTGATTTTTTTGTTATTTTTCCCTAAGTCAATGACAGGAGATACCTCAGAAGTCACACACCAAGAATCAAAAGGGGACTATTTTCCAGTACCTAACCCAGAGACCCTGCTGAAACTTAGTTCTATGTACGCAGTTTAGAGAAATATGAGATTCCCTAAGGCTACTTCTAGCTTTCACGACCACCTGAGGAGGCATATGAACATGAATTTTTATTTAGATATTGCCTGGAAGAAATTGTAGGTACTTCATAGTAACCCAAAGGAGCATATGAGCTCACTCTGCACTGAAGAATCTGAAGACCTGTATCTTGCTTTGGAGGTTCAAAACTGCTAAAAGGAAACTTCACAGTAGACCTGTAACCTTGGCTCACCTCCCTGGTGAACCCACCTTCATCCACAGATCCACCCCTGAAGAACTCAATAGGTACTGAAAGTGCTGTAAGCTGTCCTCCACTGTGGTGCTGAAATGTGAGACTGTCTGCGAAGACACCAAGGCAATATTGAAAGAGATGGGACATAATGAGAAGTAGCTGCTGTTATAGTCCACAGAGGTTTCTGAAAGGAGCTATGATCAAAAGTGCCACCACAACTCACCACTGAGCTGCTGTCTCTGGGAACAAGTGCCAATGAATCATTAGACAGGACCCTCAGCTGGGACTTTCACAGACAAGATTGCACCTGGAGGTAGCAGTTTCAGGCTAAGGAGGAAAGGAGAGAAAATTTTTTTCCTGAAAGATTCTTGCAGCCCTCCTTGAAAGCCCAATGCAGTAACATTCTTGCAATATCCACAAGGAAATGAGATTATACACCTTAAATTTACACAATGTTATATGTCAAATCTATTTCAATTTTTTTTAAAGAAAAGGAAGATCAACAGTCTTTTAATATTGAAGGCCTTCTGATAAACTCACTGAAGGAAAAGGACAATTTTACATTAAATAATTTCATGAGGATTACAGACCCCAAATTTTGGACAGTTCCTACTGTATCCTACCTGAATATATTAACTCAAGCCTCTGACTGTCTAGGTCCCAGCGTGTGACACTGGAAAAGAACATTACAGATAACAAACTGTGGACAGTGGAACATTGCTTTTCTAACTGCTTCAAATCTTATCTGAAAACTATGGTTAATAATATCCTCCTCAAAGCTTGTTGTGGAGATTAAATTAAATTATTTGAAAAAAATGTGAAAAGTCTATGGTACATTCATTGGAACTTAATAGATGCATATTAAGTGGGGAAAAGCATATGAGGAAACCCAGAGTCAAAGAAATGAATTCACTTCATAAATATACAGAAATACAAATATATAGATCTTTATTACAACGCTTATCACAATAGTTACAATTATTCTTTTGTGTGTGTCCTTCATAAAGGCAAAATCCATGTTTATTCAGATCCCTGAGTCCTGCTAGTAACATTTTTTTTGAGTGCTTAGTAAGTATCTGTAGACTTAAGTTCACATATATTTCCTACTATTCACCTTGAAGCATGAAGAGTGGACAGTAGCAATGAAATGACTGGGGTGATCTCCAGTCTTCCTGCCTAATACCTAGAAACTTCAGGGAACTATTGCAGCAGCTACTCCTCCTTATCTCTAATTTCCTTAAACATCTCTCAGCACCTTAGCAGACAGCCTAATATACCTGGTTCACTACACCCCACTAATGCATTGTTACTGCCAACTCATCATGGTTCAAGGCTAATGGTAGAAAAATACCACATACTTGAGATGTGCTTTCAATATTGCCACAAGTCGAACATCAGAAAAGAGGGTGGCAGGGGGAGAAGAAAACAGGACAAATGAAAAAAGAATGTGCTATATTTTCTGCTCTCACACCTGTGGGCACAGATGCTGGACACCTTGGCTACATTTTTTTTATTCCTGCACAAAATTCCTGAAGGTTCACTGAAGAAACGATATCACAACTTTTCTATTGATTTCCATATGTAAGTTTTGAATTTTGTTAATGTCTACTAGTAAATTAGTTCAAGCTATACTCTATAGTTTAGATTTCAGATGGCATTTCCTTAACTAAATACATTACTAACTTTTTCAAAAAATTAAAATCCTCCTAAGCCCAGAAATTGGCTCATTATTTCAGGAATGTCTATTTTAAAATTCAGCATATTGCTTCTCAAGTGACAATCTCTAGACATTTCTTTCTTTTAATTCTGTTTCCTATGCATAATTCCAAGTTGATAGAGAGGCCTGTAGATGTGGCATTAAATGGATTATCCAGACCAGAAAGAACTCTCTTGCTATATGCGTATTTATGATCAAATACATTTGCAGCTTCTAAGCCCCACATTCAAAATTGTTAACATACAGGAGGAGTGAGGCAACACAGACCATGTAACACAAGAGCCAGGGCATTGATATGCACGATTAGAATTTGGATCAAAGATGCAGTATTTGATCTTGGACCTGGACATAGCTTCATAGTAAAGTGTAGGCATTTTGAGTCTTTGATGCAGATAATCAAAGAGGGGGAAAGAAACAACAGTGGTGTTTCATCAGCTCTCAGAAGGAAATTAGCCATAGCTGTTCTATTAAACATCTTGGTGAAAAATTTATTTTACAGAAACACATAACCGACATTTGATGCTAATTTCAGGCACTGTAAGTATCTGTACTAAGTTATGACTAAGTCAGTGTAGAAAGAACGGTAAAAGAGAAGTCTCCACCTTGGTGAAAACTGAACAAACATTGAGAAAGAGCTCCACCTACTGGAATAGGTTTCCCTACATCCAGCT